GAACCAACTGTGCAGCCCTGGGATGCAGAGCTGGAGCAGACACCAAACATCACTGTATCCCAAGAGATGTAAGAACCAACAGCCAGGAGCAGACACCGAGCATCGCTGCATCCCGAGGGATGCAGGAACAGACAGCACAGCCCCGGGCTGCAGAGCTGGGAGCTGGCTGGATGCCGTCGGCAAGGCACGGCCTCCCCTGCACTCCCCGGAGCGCTGTTATTTCAAACCACAAAGGTTTCTCACCCCGAAGCAATGCGCTGACATTTGCAGGGGTTAAGGAAGCTAGCAGTGCGGGCCCGGTGAGGACAGGAGCTGTCCCTCCCCAGGCAGCAGAGCTTTCTAAAAGCCTTCTCAATCCTTACTCAGGGTCAGCTTGGAGTCCTACAGAGCTGCAGCCCCTGCGCTGCTGCTTACAAGGACGCGTTCACTCTGGTCCCTACTGATGGCCGACTGAATGCAGGCTTTGCAGGCAGCAAAAAGATGGCAGATGCAGGGTGGGACGTGCCCCAACAAGGCTTGGAGAGGACAGTGAAGCCCCCTGCTCCCACCCCAGGCCCATCCCCAGCCCCGTTCCTACCTCCTTGCGCGTGGAGCGGATCAGGACCTTCAGGGTGCGGCCGATGTCTTTCTCCACCTCCGCCTCTCAAAAAAAAACGCCTCTGCGACGCCCTGCGCAGGGTGGGGAGGATGCACCAGGGGTGATGCCAAACCCCACCCCAGGGACCCAAACCCACCCCTGGGCCAGATCCCCCCACCCATGGGGGCTGGGGTGGAAGCTGGCAATGGGGTTTTTGCATGGGACCAAGGGCTGGCAGGGGGATCCCAACCCAGCTGGGGCAACTACAGGGACCCCAGCATGGGTACTGGAGGGGTTAAAGTCCCAAAATGGGGGGGACACACAATAAAAACGGGGGTCCTGGACTCACCGGCTCCTGGAAGTAGAACTGGTAGTCAAAATTGGGGAAGGCTTTCAACTTCTCCACGATGTCCACAAAGGGGTCAGCGGGGCGGTAGGGGGTGTTCAGCGAGGCCACAGCTCTGCGGCACCAAACAGGGGGGGACAAAATCAGCGTCACCCCCAAATTTGGGGCGCCCCATGCGAGCCAGAGCTCTGCTGCAGGAGCAGGAGGGGATTTGGGGGGAGCACAGGACCCACCTCACCCTCTCGGGGTAGAAAAGGGCCATGTTCCAGACCACGGCGCCGCCCCAGTCGTGCCCCACCAGCACCGCCTGTGGGATGCCCTGCGGGGAGGGAGCACCTCGAATCCCCCCCAAAAACAGCACCCAAGAGAGCAGGAGGCGCGGGAGGAGATTTCCCCTCCTTCGAGGCAGCAAAGACATCAGGAAACAGCAACATTTGCCTTTTCTCCCTCCTTTTTCATCCTTTTTCCCCTCATTTTTAATCATTTTTTCCCCCTTTCCCATCTTTTTTCCCATTTGTTGTCCTTTCCCTCACTTTTTGTCTTTTTTCCTCCCTTTCTCATCTTTTCCCCCCACTTTTTCATCTTTTTTCTCTTTTTTGTCTAATTTTTCATAATTTTTCCCTTTTTCATACTTTCTCCCCTCTTCCATTTTTTCCTCCTTTCTCATCTTTTCCATCTCGTTTTTCCCGTTTTTCTTCTATTTTTTCCCTTTTTTCATCATTTCCCCCCACTTTTCCTCCTGTTTTTCCCTTTTTCTTGTCTTTTTTCCCCTTTTTTATCATTTTTCCACACTTTTTCTTCTTGTTTTTCCCCCTTTTCTTATAATTTTCCCCCTTTTTCATCTTGTTTTTCCCTTTTTCTTGTCTTTTCCCCCTCTTTTTCACCAGTTTTCCCCCTTTCTCATCTTGTTTTTCCCTTTTTCTTGTCCTTTTCCCCTCTTTTTCATCTTCTTCCCATTTTCCATCTTCCCCCCCTTTCAGTTTCTCCCCCTTTTTCATCTTTTCCCCCCATTTTTTGTCTTTTACTTCCTCTCTCATCTTTTTTCCCCATCTTCATCTTCCCCCCCTTACTTTTTTCCTCCTTTTTCATCCTTTTCCCTGTATTTTTTCCCCAAAAAAGCACTCATTACCCAATCATTACCCATCACAATTTGCTCCAGCTTAATTAAACATCTCCATTCCTGAGCTCTCCAGAGAAAAGCCCTCGATCTTCTCCACCAAATCCACATCTGGAGGCTGCGCATCCCTTGGGACCCTCTCCCCATCACAGCCCGCCTCCCCCCCAGCCCCATCCCTTTCCCCTGACCCCTCCGGGCACCTCCAGATCAATCCAATTAAACCCTGTGCTCCTGACGATGTCGCAGCAGCCGGTTCGTAATTAGCTGGTATTTAGAAGCATAATTAAAATTCCCTAAGGGGCTGATGAAACCCAGCGTCTTAGACCCTCCCCAAGGGGGAGCAGAGGGTTTGAAGGGGTCTCCCAGCATCTCCCAGTCCGAAATGGGGATGGGTTTCATCCCAGCAGCTCCTGGACCACTCCTGCATCCCAGCTATGGGCTCAAACAAAGCTTCATTAAATCCTTGCTCTTCCTTAAAATCTCCCTGGGTCTTTTTTTCCCCCCTTTATTTCTTATTTTTTGCCCTCTTTTTAGCGCCGTTTCGCAAGGACAAAGCCCCGCGGGCATTGACATTTGCAGGCTCCGCCACCTTCCCCCTCCGCTTCATCGCTTTCCAAAGGCTGCAGAAACCAACCCCATCCCCTCCCCATGGGGATCCCAAATCCCAGTAGATCAGATGCCGAGGTGGCACCAAATTCCAGCCGTGCCATGGTCCCAAGCCACCCAAACCACTTGGGAGCTTCTATGGTTGGGGTTCAAGGAGGATGGAGGGGATGCAGCCCAGCATCCTTCTCCACGAGCATCTCGTGAACCCCAAAACCAGGCACCACCAGCCCATCTCCTCATCCTCAGCAAGGACACAAGGTCCAGGAGAAGGTGATGTGGAGCTGGAGACCTTTCCAACGATGGGGCAATGGGTTGTAGAAACATCCCCACCTCTAAAATCCCAAAGATGGGGTTTGGGGTTACCCTGAGGGCTTTAGGTTAAAGCCTCTGGGGACCTCACATGTCCCAACGTGGGACAGACACCAGGAGCTCATCGTCACCCTCAGAGGTGAAGAGCAGCCATGGGAACACGCGCCCAAACCTTGCCAAAGGGGGACCCGTGGTGGTGCTGCTCCTCACCAGCTTGTCCAGGAAAACCACCAGGTCCTGGGGAAGGGAGCAGAGAAGGGGTCAGGTCCTGCCCAGGACCATGCCCTGCCCTCCCCACCGCGCTCATCCCGCTCCAGCTCCTCACCTTGCAGATCTGCTCCTGGGAATATTCTTCTATGTCTGCACCCAAGACACAAATCACCATCATTTTAAGCTCTGCACCTTCCCAAGGATGCGTTTTGCACCCATCTGAGATGCAGGAGGAGCCTCCAATCCCCCCAGGAGAAGACTCCTCCACCCATCTCCTCCTGGGTGTCGGCCTTGGGGTTGGCAGCTCCATCCCCAGTATGTCCCAGTACGTCCCAGTAAACCCAGCTCACCCAGCGGGGCCGTGGACTCCCCGTAGCCCTTCATCTCCACAGCGATCACCCTGAAGCCGGCGTCGGCCAAAGCTGGGATCTAGGAGTGAAAGCAGCAGCTTCTGAAGGACACTGAGCCCCCTGGACCCCGCTGTGTCCCCAGGAGGTGACACCGGAGGGTGAGGAACCCCCCCCCATGTCCCTCAAGGGTCAACACAGGGTGGTGGGACAGCCCCAGGACCCTCCTCCACCACCTCTCAGCATCCCAGCACCAACCCCGTGGTCCTCCCCGTCCCCCCCATCACCTGGTAGCGCCAGGAGAGCCAGGACTCGGGGAAGCCGTGGCAGAGGCAGACGACGGGGCCGTGTCCCATTTCTACAAAGTGCAGCTGGACGCCGGGCTGGAGGGGACAGAGAGACCCCACCGGTGGCACAGCATCACCCCACAACCCTCCGGGTGTGGGAGCCCACCACCACATTTTGGATGGAGAAGACCTCAGCGATGGGGTAGCCCAGCATCTCCCACTCAGAGCATCCCACACAGCAAGGACAACCCAAAAAGCCACCTCTCGGTTGGCAGATCCCACCCTGCCAAGCTTGGGGACACCTCGTCACCGAGGTGGTCCCCTCCACCTTACCCTGATGGGTACGTATCCATGGGTCACGTTGTTTGGGTCACACGCCGTCGGCAGTGGCTCCTCTTGGGTGCGAAGCTGTGGGGCGAGGAGCATGGGTTGAGCTCCTGAACAAGCCTGGAGCTCCATCGGGCATCCCCACTGCCCCACTGCTGCTGCTGGGACATCATCTGAGATGACCACGGCTCAGCTGGTCCAGGGGATGGGGCTACCAAGGGGTGGGCAGCTCCACAGCCCCCATCCCATTTGTTTCCATGAGAAACCGGAAGCCCCAGCAGCCCAAATTCACCCCTGCATCCCCAGGAGAGCAGGGGACAGAGGGGACCCAAACCATCTCTACATGCCTGGACGCCCGAGAGCTCCTCCAGCTCCTTCAGGACGGTGTCGGTGTCCCTGACGAGGATGGTGGCCATGCCCATCTCCCGCGCCGGCTTTAGGTTCTCCCCGATGTCATCCAGGAAGATGACCTGGAGATCCACCAGCAAGAACAGGGCTCAGTCCTTGGGCTCGGCCAAGGACTTTGGGTGCTCGGAGGGACCCCCCTGTGCCTCATTTTTTGGGCTGGTGGCCCTACCTCCTGCGGCTTCGCCTGCAGCGCATCCAGGGCATAGACGTAGATTTCGGGATCCGGCTTCTGCGCCCCGAGCCGGCAGGACTCGATCACCAGGTCAAAGTGACGGCGCAGCAGGTCCATCAGCGTGGCCGTGAAGAGCCGCCCGGCGCTGTCGTCCACCCAGTTGTTGGTGAGGATGCAGGTCTTGAATCCTAGGGATGAGCAGAGAGTTTGATTTTTCCTCTTCTCCCACGTTTCTTGGGCCTTCCCAGCCTAAAATCTCCCTCTTGCAAGGCTCTGCCTGGACCAGGACACCCATCAGGAGATAAAGGATGCTTCGCAAGAGCTTATGCCAAATTTGTCCTTGCAGGAAAGGAAGGCTCAACCCTCCCAGCTCAAATGGGATGTGAGATGGAGCTTGGGCACACTGAGATGGTGAGGACTGAGCTGAGGGATGGGCCACGGTGTGGGGTGAAGGGCTATGGTGTCTGGGTGGTAATGCACCTGATGGAGATGGTAGCAGGGCTCAAAATACCTAATTAGGGATGTTAAGAGAATGCTGGGATGATGATGAGGGACTGAGCATGGACCACATGGTGGGAAAAAAAATGCCGTGGTGGGACCGACCAGGGACCCCGTGGTGGGACCGACCAGGGACCCATGGTGGGACCGACCGTGGACACCTGTGATGGGATTGACCAGGAACAATCTTAGTTGGACCAACCAGGGACCCCATGATGGGATCAACCAGGGACCCTACAGTGGGACCAACCAGGGACCCCATGATGGGATCAACCAGGGACCCCACGGTGGGACCAACCAGTAGACCTCATGATGGGATCAACAAGGGACCCCATGGTGGGACCAACCAGTAGACCTCATGATGGGACCGACGAGGGACCCTACGGTGGGACCAACCAGTAGACCTCATGATGGGACTGACGAGGGACCCTACGGTGGGACCAACCAGGGACCCCATGGTGGGATCAACCATTGAACCCCATGATGGGACCAACCAGGGACCCCATGGTGGGACCTACCAGTAGACCTCATGATGGGATCAACCAGGGACCCCACGGTGGGACCAACCAGTAGACCTCATGATGGGATCAACCAGGAACCCCACGATGGGACCAACCAGTAGACCTCATGATGGGACCAACCAGGGACCCCATGGTGGGATCAACCAGACCTCATGATGGGACCGACGAGGGACCCTACGGTGGGACCAACCAGTAGACCTCATGATGGGACTGACGAGGGACCCTACGGTGGGACCAACCAGGGACCCCATGGTGGGATCAACCATTGAACCCCATGATGGGACCAACCAGGGACCCCATGATGGGATCAACCATTGAACCCCATGATGGGACCAACCAGGGACCTCATGATGGGACCAACCAGGGACCCCATGATGGGACCAACCATTGGACCTCATGATGGGATCAACCAGGAACCCCATGATGGGACCAACCAGAAACCCATGGTGGGACCGTCCAGAACCCCCCAGAGCCTGCTCAGGAGGGGAGCAGCCCCCTTACTCCACCACCCCTTGCCCAAACCCTCCCCAGCACCCACCGTTCCTCCGCAGTGCCCTCGCCGCCTGCAGCATGGGGACATTGATGGTCCCCTTGGCTGCCATCTCCTCGAAGGCTCGTGCCACCGAGAAGGTGGGTGGCAGGGAGATGCCCGCGGTGGTGGCGTGTTGCCTGCAGCCCTCTTCCGTCTCCGAAAAAAGCTGGAAAACACCCCCAGAGTCATCAAATAAACCCAAAAATATAAAGCACAACCCCATCCTGGAGCCTGGTCCCATCGGCTCCTTCCCCAGTCCCATCCCAGTCATCCCAGTCCCACTGGAGCTGCTGGTGATGCTCCAGGGTTGGTACCCAAGGGCTCACCTGGGACAGGGTGATCTGTCCCCTCATAGCTTTGGCGTAGGGACTCTGGGAGCCACCAGCAAACAGGACCTTCCGAAAGAAATCCCTGCAAGGAGGAGAAGGAGGAGGAAGAGGAAGGGTCAGACCCCAAAATCAGGGGGTTTCGGGGTGCGCCATGGGGAGGGGGACGCCCTGTGCAGGAGCTCCGTTATCACCCAGGAGCATCGCATCGTTCCAGGACCCGGAGCTCATTTATTCCCATTGGCAGCTCAATGACATTTTGCCAGGAACAAACAATAAAAATTTTTTAAAAAAATAAATTAAATAATAAAAAAATAATGCAAAGAGCGAAGCATTTCGTAAGCTGGAGCTCAAGGAAAATAATTTGCCCCTATCACAAGATCACAAAAGACCTTCTCGGGTGGCAATAAAACAAGATTAAGGCCACTGGCTTTAGGACAAAGCTCTTCTCCGAGTCGATAAAAACGCGGCTCGGTCAAAAAATAAAGCGGCTTTACCTGTTCCAGCAGCATTACTGTCACTTTTTTTCCCCTTTTTTTTTTTAATACAAAGCGAAGCAAAAATATATTCGATGGCCTGATAATCTGGGAATTTATTGCTCCATCTGCTCCACGTCCTCCAGCATTTAGTAATTCAATATTTCATTCTCTCTTTCTTTTTATTTATTTATTTTTTAACTCCCTGCTTTATTTTTTTTTTATTTAAACACCCACGCGCTGCCAGGAAATCCAGACCCATTGGGAAACGCAAACCCACGGAACTCGTTCAGCTCCTTTTGGGGAGCTTTGGGGATCAGCAATTCCCAAATACCTCATATTAAAGTGGGGGGGGGGAAAGGTTTTGCTGGGACTCAGGGGACCCATTGGGGTTTCTCAGCCCCAGCTCATGTGCTGAGTTGTGTCCGGTCTCAGCCCTGAGGCAGCGATGGCCTACACTAATTATCCTGCTTAATTAATTATTAATTGCTTTCTTATGGCTTCTCCCAATGTCCCCTATGGTGATCTGATCTAATCTGGGTGTTGGTTTTACCCGCTAAGCTGCACCCCACAACCAGCACAGGACCCCCACCCAGCTTGTACCCCATACCCAGGACAGGACCCCTTCCAGCCTGCACCCCACACCCAGAGAGGTCCCCAGCTTGGACCCCATATATAGAGACCCCAACTCGCTCCCCATTTATACACAGGGACTCCAACTCGCCCCTCACACCCAGGACAAGGGGTCCCCGTCCCTTCCCCCTACGCACACCCCGCGCAGGCGGCGACCGCACACACAGAATTATCGCCTCGTCTCTACGTTCCTCCGCCCAAGCGGCGACTCGCCGAGGAGCGG